AACTTCATAAATAATTACATGGACTTAGTTAATTTATAGATTTTTATTAAGTATACCATTCTTTCAGTATTAATATAGTATATAAGATACAGATTTTATTTTAATGCAGAGTTCTTTTAAAAATCATATAATTCATGTGTTTCCTTCTCTTGGTAAATGAAAGCTCTTTAAATTCTATGTAATTTGTAGTTTATCTTTTTCATTGAGCTTTATGAATTCATTTTTGGGTGAGACATTATTATTATTTTACTGAAAAGCTCTTATAGAGTATATCTTTAGATAGACTATTCCAGGAAACAGAGGAAGATTTGCTGTGTTATTTGACATGTTGTGAGTGGTGAATGAGCTAAGGAACAAAGGCAAATGAAGGACAGATAACAAGCTTGAAGAATCCCAGAGGTTGTATTCCAGTTAAGTGTGGTAGCACTAGATTATCTAAATTTAACAATATGTCCAGGACGAGGCCAAGGAATTTTGAGCTATTTTCAGCTGCAAATAGTAACCTTATTTTAGAAGGATGTTTGACCATTGAATGATATATTTTGGCAGCTTTTCATATCATCTGGGTCTCATCTAAGTAGCATATATTTGGCGTTGTTGTAGATGCCCACTATGCCTATTCAGTTATGAGAATGGAAATGGCTATTGACAATAACAAGTGATTGTATATTTGTTATGGGTCTATAAATCTGGATGGTTCTGGTCTAGATGCAGAGAGTTTTGATTCTTTGGCTGGTAAACTTCTGTTTTCTTCTCTGAACCACTATTGCAACAATGTATTTCATGTATTTTTAGATAAAACGTCTAAATGAATTTTCTTTCATCCCTGAGTTTGGTATGAAAAATGTTTACTTGTAAAAAGTGTCTTAGTTCTACCTGTACAGATTTTAAAATGTTTGTTACTTTGATGACATCCTTTCTGTTCCATACTTTAAATTAGCTCACACAGTTACATGCCTTTGTAATTATCTTTTAGATTTCATGTTCATGTCAGTTGAAGTTACGTTATTATTCAAAGGCTATAAATATAAATTGTATATTCATAAGTTTAAGCTATCACATTTTCCTTGATTACTTATATTGGCTACAGTCAAGTAGAAACATGACTGACTACTTGAAATTCTAAGTAGAACAGCATATCAACAGTAATTTTCTATTTTATTGGTATGTGAATTTTGAAACATGTTTTTCCAGAAATATTCAAATATCTCTTCAGTGTCATATTCAGCTTCTATCAAAACAATACCCATGTTTTCTAGAATATTGTCAAAATGCATAATTTACTACCAATATATAACTGCTGTAAAATGGCATGCCTCTCCTGACCAGTTATAATTTTATTGAATATAAATTCCTAATTATTTTCTCACTACTCAGGATAAAAATGTATTACTAATGGGTCACAGAGGAGAGGATATTTGAATATAAACTACGTTTCTCTTTTTCACATTATAAAGTAAGATTGTCTTTTATCTTAAAGGAAGGCTCTTTGTTCTCCTAGAGTATTGACAAGTCTTAAAAACCTCTACCCTTCTGAGCTCTTAGCTGAGACCCCTGTAATAAAAGATGGTTAACAAGAGAAAAACAAACAAATGTATTAACACATGTATCTCATTTACACATGGAAGGTAACCCAGGGACAAAGGAGGGACTCAAAGACATGGCTTTAGAATTTTAGGAAACATGAATTGACCATTAGAATGGGAGAAAGGATAGTCTGTGAGAAAGTTTGCCTAGGTGTGGTGTCTGCTTCTAATCTCCTCTCCTGTGACAAGAATCTGTGGTTGATGAAACTCCTAGGGGAGGGCATTTCTGACAATTAAATTCCTTTTGGAGGGTCTTTAGGCAGATGACTTCAGAAAAGTCTCTCCCTGCATTTGCTGTTTGTTTGTTTGTTTGTTTTTTGTTTTCCCCAGTGCTTACAGCTCAAAATAATATGTCAAAGCAATGTATTTTGGAATGGCATGTCCTGAACTCCCACAGTCATATTATGGCATGCCACAATATGGCATGTACAGTATTTACTTCATCTGGTCTTTTATTTCAAGTATTTACATGTAAAGGATAGCACCAGAGTGATGAAGAAATGAAATTGTAGCCAGGGTAGTGCATTGTATCATATACAGTGTACCTTTGAGAATTTAAGTATTCTCCCCTAGGAGGCAAGGTCTTCATTTCCCCTCAGTACTATCTATCTATCTATCTATCTATCTATCTATCTATCTATCTATCTATCTATCTATCTGTCTATCTGTCTATCTATCTATCTATCTATCTATGTATCTATCACTCATTTTTATTGTTGAATGCATTACAGTTGTCCTCCCTTCCTCCCCCACCCCTGACCTTCTCCTTCCCAATCCCACCCCCCTCCTGCCTTCCCCACACTATTGTTGGTGTCCAATGGCTATGCATATATGCATAGAAGTTCTTTGGTTTATCTCATCCCGCCTCCCTCCCCCCTTTCCTTTGAGGTTCATCAGTCTAACAACCAATTTGTACTTCTGAATTCCTTCATCTTCTTCACCCATCCCCCTAGCCCCTGCCCATCTGGCAAGCAACAAAAAGTTCTCTGTATCTATGAGTCTGTTTCTGTTCTGCTTGCTCATTTTGTTTGTAGATTCAATTGTTGATAGATATGTATTAATTGTCACTTTATTTATATTTTTGTTGTTGTTCTCCTTCAAGAAGACCCTTCAACATTTCATATAATACTGGTGTGGTGGCGATGAACTCCTTTAGCTTTTTCTTGTCTGGGAAACTCTTAACATGTCCTCAGTACTATTTTAAAGGAGAGAGAAAAATGTAGTGTAGATATTACCTGTGATTATTATATATTTTGTTTTTGTTGAGGTCTAATGTACAGTAACTATATTAACCTTAAGTGTAATAATAGCTCCATTCTATTTAGTAATGTTCTGTTTAGTAATGTACATATCCTTATAACCATGATGCAGGTCAAGATATAAAGTTTCCAATGCACAGTAAATGTAACTCATACCTTTTCTCTGTCTATATAACACCACCTCATACCCCACTCATTTCCACTATTCTGACTTTTAATCATCATTGAATATGTATGGTTCTGTGTCTGGATTCTTTTTGCTTAACATTATGTCTCCGAATCTCATCTCTGTTGTTGAGCGTAATAATTCTATTTTATTGCTGTGTAGTATTCTGTTTTACACATATACCACAATTAATTACCCATTCCTTTGTTGATAAATATTTGGGTTGTTTCAAATTTATTATGACAAGTTCTTTTTGCTTCTACTGTTGTTGAATGGGATATATGTAAGTATTTACCTGTAAATATTTTATTTATTTTTAGAATAAATAAATACATTTTATTGAAATATTATTTATAAACAAAATACACATCTTTTTTTAGGAGTCAGGATTATTAAGGTATAACTTGCATACAATAAAATTCAACCTTTAAAAATGTACAGTGAGTTTTGACAAATGTATATACACATAATAGTCATGTTGTACATTTTTATCACCCCATAAGTTACCTTTTCCCATTTTGTAGTCAACCTTTTATCCCAGCCCTGCCCATCCGACAGTTATGTACTCTGTTACCACCTGATTATTTTTTTCTTCTTAGTCTGTTCGTCTTGTCCTGTCTTTTTCTGTTCAAAACACCCTGTTCTAGTATTATTTGACAATCATCTTAATTTAAAGGGTTAATCTATGACTAGTTGATGTCACATAATTAGTGGCTTATTCAGAACTAGGTCTTGTCAGTAGCATCTTTAGAAAAACAAAGGATAAAAATATCATTGCACATTTGAATTCTTTTAGATTTGCTTTGTGGTGTTTATATAGAATCATTTAGCTTGTCAAGGAATTTATGTTCCTACTTGATTTACCAATGTATTAGTTTTCTGGAGTTGTCATAACAAAGAACACAAACCAGGTGACTTAAACAACAGAAATTTATGGTCTCACAGTTCTGGAGGTTTGAAGTTCAAAACCATGGTGTCAACAGAGCTGGTTCCTTCTGAGGGCTGTGGAGGAAGAATCTGTTCCAGGCCAAGTTTCTAGTGCTTTGCTTTTTCTTGGCTTGTAGATGCATCAATCTGATCTCTGCTGTCACCTTTGCATGATGAACATGTGCCTCCCCTCTGTGCATGTGCATATCTGTGTTCAGATTCCCCTTTTCATGGGACATTAGTCATATTGGATTAGGGCCCACCCTAATGACTTCATGTTAACTTGCCTCTGTCTGCAAAGACCCTATTTTCCACGTAGGTTTGCATTCTAAGGTTCTGGGGGTAGGACTTCAGCATCTATTTAGGGAGACAATTCAACTCATTACACCAGTATTAAATTTTATTTCAGTGATAGAAGTTTGAGGATATCTGTCATATTGGTTTTTATTGTTGATTTGTTTTAAATATCTTGAAATTTTCTTATTTTTTTTCTAAATGATACCATTTACTGGAGGCCAGTAGTCATCTAGATTATCTACTTAATAGCTATATTTTCTGTGGATATATTTACTACTTTGTGCAAACATTTTAGCTTTTGAAAATTTAATGTAATTAAATAATGTGATGAATGGCCATTTGAAATCTGAATGCTATAGATACTGTTTGTATTTCCTTTTGGAAACCCTTCTGATAATATCTGTCTAGTCCAGCCATGGTACATTCTTTAATTGAACTTCTTTTTAGGAAGTGACTAATCTCTTATTTCCAGAAATCTTCCACGAGATAATGAGAACAGGATCTTATATATATCATTATAACAAGCCAGATGAAATGTTCTATTGTCATCAGTTCTTCAGTAGACTGGTACATTACTTTGGAACTTCTTGAGGTTTTTCAAGTTATGTTGGATTCATAAGTGTGATTTCAGATAGTCTTTAAAAAAAATTCAAAGGCAGAGTTCTCTGTTTTCTTAATGAAAGTCATTTGGAAAATACTAGATGACATATAAATATTTCCTTTAGATACCTTTAGAATACTCACAGTATAAACATGTTTGTGCAGGTTTTGACTGAATCATCTCGTCAAAGTTACTCACCTTCTGGCTATCAGGATTTCACAAAGTGGGAATCAGTGCTGAAAATAAAGGAAGGATTACTAAGGCAGAAAGAAATTGTGATTGATCGGTGAGTCTATTTTATTAAATTACTAAATATTTCAGGTATAGAAATGTAGATTTAAAAAATGCCTTTGTATCCACTGTGTTGAAGGACCATACAAATACATTGTTAGTCTCATGTCCCTCCTTTGGTCTCAGTCCCTTTAAGAACAACACTCAGAACTGAGGTTGGTTGGTAAGTCAGTCTGTCTGTCTGTCTTTCTCCTACCAACCTCCCATTACATTAGAGTAATTCATTATTTGGAAACTCATCTTCTTTGTACATGTTGCAAGATATCTGAAATGCTAATGAGCTATCAAAGCTGCAAGAAAATGTCTGTATTTTACATTTAAGAAATAACAACTTGGAAAGCTACTTTAATGTTATTTCCTTCAACTAATGTATGTTAGATATGAAGGCACAGAAACTATGAAAATCACGAATGTTTGAGATTAAATGATTTACAGATAAGAATTTTGGATATTTGGGGGAACATTCCAAAAATTATGCATGTTTGAGTACCAATACTATGAAAAAAAAACCTGCTCTACTTAACAGTTTTGATTATTTTGAGCAATAAGCCTAATTGTACTTAATTATATTATCTGTGATTTATATATTTTTTTTTGTCTTTTGAGATAATTAAACATGTTCTGTAGCATGGTAATTGGGAAAATAGTTTGAGGAGGTGTTTAATCAATGCTAGTTACACTTATTTTCATGTGCTTATATGGGATAACGTAGTAGACAGTTAAAAAAAAACCTCACCCTAGTATATTTTTCTATTTATCTTCAGATAGAGTGGGAGGGAGGGAGGGAGGGGGAGAGAGAGAGAAACATTGACTTGAGAGGGACACACAGACTGGTTGCACCCCCACATGACCCCAATCAGGACCCAGGGACGAACCACAACCCTGGTACATGCCCTTGACTGGAATTAAACCTGCGACCCATTGGTCTGTAGGCTGATGCCGTAACAACTGAGCCAAACCAACCGGTAGTAGACATTTTAACCTTAAAATTAAAACCCAATTCAAACCTTTAAATATATTTGAGAGTTGAAATTTCAAAAGGTTTTGCTTAGAAAGTAAAGACCTACTGGAATATGAACTAAAGCATAGACATCTGTCCTTTCATATTTTCTTTTTCCCCTACTATCTTGAACTGAGCCTTACACATAGGATATGCGTTATGCTTGATACTTCCATACTGTATAAGTGGATGAAGATTCTAGAAGATAGTTTTAATTGATTTTATGAAAAAACTTTTACTAATATTTGATATTTCTAATAAAAGTGAAATTTTTATATGAGTAATTATAGACCCAATTGAGTATATATTTTGAACACTTATAATTTAATTCATTATACAGTATTGAAATTAATACTTTTTATTTTATTTTTTAATCTATTTTTCAATTATAGTTGATGTACAATATTATATTAGTTTCAGGTGTACAACATAGTGATTAGACATTTACATACTTTACAAAATGATCACCCTGATAAGTCTAATACTCATCTGGCACCATATATAGTTATTACAATATTATTGACTAAGTTCCCTATACTGCACTTTTTTTTTTTTTTATCCTTACCTGAGGATATTTTTCCATTTATCTTCAGATAGAGTGGGAGGGAGAGGGAGAGAGAGAGAGAAACATTGATGTGAGAGGGACACATTGACTGGCTGCCACCCTGCACTCGCATGACCTGACCAGGGCCAGGGACGAACTGCAACTGAGGTATGTGCCCTTGACTGGAATCAAACCTGCGACTCATTAGTCCAAGAGCCAATGCTCTAACCGCTGAGCCAAAACAGCCAGGGCCCTATATTGCACTTTTAAAAAACAGATTAAAATTCAGGCTTTTATTAATATGGATATACTCTTCTTCAAACAATCAGAATCAGTGGACTTTTATTATTTTTTAAACACCATTATAATTATTATTTTATTTTATTGGGTATAAGTTAATAGATATTGTAGTCCATTTGGGCTGCTATAACAAAATACCATAGACTGGGTGGCTTATAAACAACAGTATTTTATTTCTCCCAGTTATGAAGGCTGGGAAGTTCAAGATCAAGTCACCAGCAGATTCAATGTCTGATGAGAGCCAACTTCCGGGTTCATATATGGCCATCTTCTTCCTGTAACCTTACATCGTGAAAGGGGCCAGGGAGCTCTCTGGACCTCTTTTATAAGGATACCAATTACCTCGAAGCTTCTCTGCCCTAATGCCTATCACTTCCTATCACTTCCCAAAGGCACCCACCTTCTTATACCATCAAACTGAACATTAAGATTTAATGTATTAATTTTGGAGAGACACAAACATTCAGTCTATGGAAAATGCAGATAATTATTAATATAATCTATTAAAATATATATTCCTCAATTTTGTATATTGTAGAAAGATACAAGGAAATAATCCAGTCATTCAAGTTGCTCAGTTTCCAATTATGAATTTTAAGATTGGTAATACTTTTAACTTTTATGTCAAATTATTAGAATACTTAAAGTTCTGCTTTTAGCCCAGCCAGTGTGGCTCAGTGAATTGAATGTCGGCCCATGGACTGAAGGGTCCTGGTTCCATTCCCAGTCAGGGCATATGCCTGGGTTGCACACTTGATCCCCAGTGGGGGGCGTGCAGGAGGCAGCTGATTAATGTTTCTCTCTCACATCGATCTTTCTCTTTCTCCCTTCCTCTCTCTCCCTAAAATATCAATAAAACATTTTTTTAAAAGTTCTTCTTTTAACTATATCTTAAAAAAGTATGTTTTTTATACTGTGACTTCAATTTATGTTTTGCAGGCAGAAGCAACAAATTACCCACCTACATGAGCGGATAAGGGATAATGAGTTACGGGCACAACATGCCATATTAGGACACTATGTAAATTGTGGGGATTCTTATATGTCTAATTTGCAGGTAAGATTCTAGAGGATGTTATAGTTGTTGTTTTATTAATAAAACATATGTTCTTTTTTTTTTTTTGGTATGTGCCCCTAGCGGGAACCAAACCCAGGACTCTGGTCTGCAGGCCGATGCTCCAACCGCTGAGCTAAACCAGCCAGGGCAAGCATATGTTCATTTTATACTTAGCTCCTAAGATTAGGATATTTTTTTAGTTAATGACTCTTTCACATGGTTCATATTTATGTGTGTAGTAAAAGATATCCAAGTACTGTCTTCCATCTGACCAGTTTACACCCCCACACACATAGGAACTGCTTTCATTTTCTGTTATGTGCTTCCAGAGTTGGTGTGTATCTCCAGCAGATATAAATGTATTTTATTCCCAACTTTAAGAAAAAGTATAAAAAAATACATTATTTATCACTTTGTTTTTTTCTTTATCTTACATAAAATTATATAAAAAGTAGTGATTATTTTTATATCATTACATAGACAGCATCCCTTTCTTTTGCTTTTACAACTGCTTGATTTCTCATTTTATTTATTCAACTTGTTCCTACTCATCGAAATTTGTATAGTTTCTAGTTTGGGGCTATTATAAGTAATGTGAAAAATAATCATTTATAAACATTGTTTTGCTCATGTGCAAATATTTTTGTAAGTTAAATTGTCAGAAGTGAACTTTCTAGGTGTTGTATGAATTGGTAATTTATATTGGTATTGTGAAATTGCTATTCAGAGAGCTTGTTCTGATTTTTAGCTCCTGTTAGTAATGTCTACGACCCCTACTCCCAACTCATAGATATATTAACAGAATGTTATCTGACTTTGAGACTTTTTTACTCTTCTAATAGGTTTATATATATTGTGGGGTGGAGGAGTTATCTCCATTTTGTTTTCATATTTTTGGGTAAAAATACATATAAAATTTACCATCTTTCATCTTAACAATTTTTAAGTGTACAGTTCAGTGGTGATAAATACATTCATAATACTGTACACACCCATCCATTTCTATAGCACTTTTCATCTTATAAAAACTGAAACTCTGTACCCATTAAACAATACCTCTGTATTCTTTCCCCACCCCTGACAATCACAATCTACTTTCTGCTTCTATGATGTTTTTAAATCATAATTCTTACTTTTTTGTTTGTTTGATTTTGTTTTTTCTAATTTTTATTAATTTATTTTTGTTAAAGATGTTTCTCCTTCCCCCCCAGACACCCTCCTCCCCATCCCACCCCCTTCACTCCCCTAGCATTGTCGTCTGTGTCCATTGGTTATGCATACATGCATATAAGTTCATCTCATCCCTCCCCCCCACCCCCCTACTCTGAGGTTTGTCAGTCTGAACCATAGTCCTTTCTGTGTCTCTGGGTCTATTTCGTTCATCAGCTCACCTTCTTCATCATATTCCACAAATAAGTGAGATCATGTGGTATTTGTCTTTCTTCTATGATTTTGATTATGCTAAGCATCTCATGTTAAGTGGAATCATACAATATTTGTCTTTTTGTTGCTGGCTTATTTTACTTAGCATAATGTTCTCACAGTTCATGTATGTTTAAACATATGTCAGAATTTCCTTTCTTTTTAAAGCTGAATAATATGTATACCACATTTTGCTTATCCATTCATATCACTGGATACTTGGGTTGCCATGAACATATTTTATATTATTTATTTGAACATGGGTGTATACATATCTCTGAGACCCTACTTTCAATTCTTTCCAATATATAACCAGAAGTGGAATTGATAGATCATATGATAATTCTATTTTTAATTTTTTGAGGAACTGCCATAATGTTTTCACAGTGGCTGTATCATTTTATATTCCCACCAACAGTGTATAAGGGTTCTTTTTCTCCACATGTTGCCAACATCTGTTATTTTCTGTTATTTTGATAATAGACATCCTAATAGATGTGAAGTGGTATCTAATTGTAGTTTTGATTTGCATTTCTCTAATGATAAGGATACTAAGTATCTTTTCATGTGCTTATTGGTCATTTGTATACAGGCATACCTGGGAGATGTTACAGGTTTGATTCCAGACAATCACAGTGAAGTGAATATTGCAATAAAAATCTTGTTACATGAATTTTTTGGTTTCCCAGTGAATTTAAAAGTTATGTTGAGACCATACTGTAGTCTGTTAAGTGTGCAATACCATTATATCTTCAAAAACAATGCACATATTGGAATTTAAAATTTTTTGTTGCTAAGAAATGCTAACCATCATCTGAGCCTGTTGTAAAAATGATGCAGATAGAATTGCTCTGTGCAGGGTTGCCACAGACCTTCATTTTGTAGAAAATGCAGTAGCTACTAAGTGCAATAATGAGAAGCACAATAGAATAAGGTATCTCTGTTATCTTCTTTGGAGAAATGTCTGTTCAAGACATTTTTGAATTCAGTTGTTTGTTCTTTTGATGTTCAGTTTTAGAAGTTCTGTATGTATTCTGAATATTAATCCTTTATCAGATGTATAATTTGCAATTTTTTCTATTTTGAATGTCTTTTTACTCTGTTGATAGTGTCTTTTCATGTACAAAATATTTTAATTTTTATGAAGTCCAATTTGTCTACTATTATTATTATTTTTGTGTGTGTGTGTGGTACATGCCCCTAGCGGGAACCGAACCCAGGACTCTCAGGTCCACAGGCCGATGCTCTACTGCTGAGCCAAACCGGCCAGGGCTTATCTACTATTATTAATCCTCACCCAGAGATATTTTCTCCATTGATATTTAGAGAGAGTAGAAGGGATGGAGGCAGGAGGGCGGCAGGGGAAGGGAGAGAGAGAAAAACATCATTGTGAGAGAGACACATAGATTGGTTGCCTCCCTCACGTACCCTGACTGGGTCTGGGGATTGAACCTGCAACCCAAGTATGTGCCCTTGACCCTAAATTGCACCCACGACCCTTTTGTGCACAGACTGATGGTCTAATATCTGAGCTATACTCACCAGGGCTACTTTTTTTTTTTTTTTTAACCTGTGCCTTTGGTGTCATATTCAATAAATTATTGCCAAGTACAATGATAAGAAGCCATGAAGCTTCTGCCATATATTTTCTTCTACCAGTTTACAGTTTTATATGTGATGTTAGGTAAGGGTCCAACTTCATTTTTTTTTGCATGTGAATAATCAAGTTTTCCCAGAACCATTTGTTGAGAAGATTGTCTCTTCTCCATTGACTGGTCTTGGCACCTTGTCAAAAATCATTTCACCATATGTATGAGGGCTTATTTATGATAATGGTATTTTAATAGAACCATGCAGTTTCTCCTTGTAATTTTATTATGCTGAATAATGGTCTTACTTGAATTATACAAGAATTATTATATTATCAAAGGCATGTAAAATTTAATGTATACCTGAAAGCTGAAGAAAATGCTTTCTGACAGAGCATCAGCCAGTAGAGGGCTCTCCCAGCCAGTCAGCAAGGAGAGAAGTCTCTGCAAGGACATGGAAAGGGGTTGGGCTACTAAAAGTATTAGAAGGATCTTAAATTATGTGGATAATTAAAATTTTGAGAAGTTTGATGTGAAAAGATTAGGACGGTTAATAAAAGGGAGTACCTGAAATATTAAATGGATATGATAAATATATAAGATAAACTTTTTACACTAGATATAGAGAGCTGATTAAATGGCAGGGGTTAGAAGAAACAACAAATATGATGATATAACATTTCTTTAGCAAAGGAATTTTTACCTTGGGTCTAGGAACAACGTTCATTTCAATGCACTGCATTTTGTATTTGCATATTTTGGGGTTCATAGCTTGTTCATCCTAATTCCTAACCCATTAAACAACGAAAATACTACCATTGATATTCTGTATATTCTATTTGCCCATTAAAAACTTTTAATAACCTTAGAATCATGATGACCTGAGACATAGACATAGGGAGAAAATGAGAACTATGTTTTTATTCTAAAATTCAAACTTCCTAGATTGTTTTAGTGGTAGAATTGGTAGAACCAAAGAGTGATTTTGTATTGTAATGCCTTATACCACAATTGCAACCTGTGGTTAACAGGACTTAATGGAAAAAAAATATATATGATATATATGTGAACTATTTTTTTCTTTTGTTGAATACTGAAAAAGAGAGATGGGGCTAAATACCAGGGAATTTATAAATGCCAAGAAGTTACAAAAAAAGCCAGGGAATTTACAAAACATAGTTCACAGTCTTCTGAAATCATCACTGGCTTTCCATTTTCTGTGAAACTATGTACCTTGGAATTCTATAATATCCAGTTAGAATTTAAAATTTTTCTTTGTACTCCCCCCTCTTGTAACCTATAATTTAAACAGACATGGGCATTCTCCACATATATTTCATCTTTTTTTAAAATGTTCTTTTTTTCTTTTCTCTATTCCTGCTAGAGTCTTTCCTATTTTCAAAATCTATCTCAAAAGCCACCTTCCCAGTAAAGTTTTTTTTCCTAATTCTCCCAGTGCCATCATCATTTATCCTCATACCTCCTGCCACTTTGTACTTAGGATGACATTTTTTTGGCTACCATATTATAATGTGTCCTATATATGATTATATAAGGGTTTCTCTTATGTCTCTTCTTATAATTTGAGTTTATAAAGGGCAGTGCCCTTTGTCGTCTTTGACATACCTTGAACCGATAATTGATATTTATATGATTTTTGAATTGCATTTTCACCTTTGGGACTATCTGAGTTCTTCAAGACCTCATTCAGGTTATACAGAGGCTTTTCCATAGCTACTACACATACAGCTGCCTTAGCATTTGGGCAGTTGCATTGTGTTTTTGTGCAACACTTTGTTAAACTGGTGGCGAGCTGGAATTTAGGCCAAGCTGTGTTTGTTGCTAGAGCCTATATGCACTCTTTCTACTATACCTCATTTCCAATTTCTTTTCAGTTGTTCAAGTTAAGTCTTACCTGTCATTTTTTCTTTCCTAATAGCCACAATATGAGAACTCTTCACTCCAGTCTCCATTTTCAGATCGGTCAGTGTCCACTTCCCAGCAAGAGGAACTTGAGCAAAAGCTTGCATCTACTGAGAAAGAAGTCTTACAGCTTAATCAGTTTCTCAAACAAAGAATGAGCCAATTTAATGAAGAGAAGAAGAAACTAGAGGAGAAGGTAGGTATTTTGATAAAGTGAAATTAGGTCAACAGCATTTCTTCAACATGTAGTTATTTGCCTGTCATCTGCTCTATGCCAGGTATCATACCAGGCTAGAAATTTATATTGACGTGATTAGTTTTGTAAATTTCGAGAACCCTATCTACAAAAATCCATGGATTTTCTTGAGGGGTAAAAATACCACTGTATATTGTATAGTTCTAAGTAATAGTGAAACCTTTATAAAGTTATTTGAACCAATACTTTTTCTCCCTTTTTTTTAACTATTTTTTTTATCCTCCAACAAGGACATTTTTCCATTTTTTGTTCAGGCAGAGTGGAAGGGAGAGAGAGAAACATCGACGGGAAAGGGACACATTGTGTGGCTGCCACCCGCATGACCAACCAGGGCCGGGGACAAACTGCAACTGACGTATGTGCCCTTAGTGGGAACTGAACCAGGGTCTCTTTGGACTGCAGGCTGACACTCTAACCGCTGAGCCAGACCGGCCAGGGCACTTGTTTTCCTTTTCTTTCTGGGCCCTGTTTCTTTGCCACAATGGGCATGAAGGATTGGTAGATGAAACAAGGATGGTCTTTTTTTTTCATTAGAAAATGACTTCGTTGTTTAAGCTGAAGCCCCGGTTCAGAATAAGTAGCTAAATGCGAAATACATATGTACACACACACACACACACACACACACACACAATGTATTTGTACATTTAACCTTTCTGCCTATATTAAAGTATTTTTTCACATATTGCATCTCATTCCTTTATAATATTATTACAGATAAAATAGGATAGATGTTAGCCCTGATTTACTGAAGAGGCACAGATCCTTAAGCTGCTACTTAGTGGCAGAATTTATTTCAGACTCCTCTTTTGATATGCCCAGCTTATCGTTCTATTAACTAAATCCTCTATTCAAGTGATCTTGAATCAGGTCACCATGATTTCTGCAGGGAGATGGGAGCTGTTAATAGAGAACTAAAAACAGATTTTTGTGTATGTATGTTTAAATTTTTTAAAACGTTTTTATTAAATTTATTGGGGTGACATTAATAAAATTATATAGGCTGCAGGTGTACAATTCTATAATATATCATCTGTATATTATATTGGGTGTTCACCATCCAAAGTCAAGTCTCTTCTACCACCATTTTGAGTTAAAATTTTTATCTTCCAAAACCTGACAAAAATTTTACATGGTTTCTCTTATGTCTCTTATTATTTCTAGCTGTATGATGTATTTTATATTGACTAACTTGGAAGTATCTTAAATACCTGTTTCTTGTTTTTTGTGTGTTTTTGAAGCTTTATACAAATCACAATTTGGAAGGAGCAAAGGAAAATTCATTGGTCGTATAGATGTGGGAAGGACTGAAATATTTTCTCACCTGAGACTTATTAATTAAAAGGTTGTGGGAAGTGTATGATTATTCAGTGGATACAATTTTAAGATTTATTTTTATATTTTATCTAAACATTTTTATCTTTTATTACTTTTGGTGTCAGTGCTTAATAAAATCAATTTATACACTCACCACATATTTGACAGCTCCTACATGGATATCTTAAAAATATTTCAAACTTTCAGGTCCAAAACACAGTTCTTAATTTGCCTCCAACTGCTCTATTCTTCTCAAATGAAACAAAACAAAATTGTCTTCAATGTTTATTACTATATATTTAGTTACTTATGCTAGAAACTTTATGAAGCCTAATCAAGCCCGTCTTCTAAATATAGATGGAGCAAATGTAGGCTGTCAGTTGTGAATACATGAAATACAGAGTTAATAAAGTTGTCAGAGATCACAGTTAAGTTGGACCTGAAAGAAATTAGATAAGGCATGAAAGAAACTAAATTGTGGACAAGTGTTAGCTTTAATAAAATTTGAAAGGACTACTCCATTATACCACTGATTGCTGGCATTTATTTCCCTGGTGAATATGCAAAGGTCTTTAAAGATATTTTAGAACCCTGTAAATTTCAAAAATAATGTTACATATTTGGAAGACTGGTAATTTAAGGTCTGGAGTTAACTTTTTAGGCAATTCTGTATATGCATGTTGTTTATAATTGATCTTAACTATGAAAGAACTTTGAATATCAGATGAAATTTAAAGATAGTATATATCACATGCAAAGGTGGTGAAAAAATTGCTTGATAGAAATCTGAGGTCTGGCCTACACAAATTGGGATTTGCTAGTATTATGTACTGTATGTGTTCTGTAGTAGGTGCTCAGTTAACATATTTCGTCAATCCTAAAATGACATTAATGGTAAGACACACCTTTATTTTATGTAATTTTTAGAACATACACTGCAAGTTTAATTATGAAACAGGGGTTTAACAGAAGTCTTGCTTGAGGTATGGATTGGTCTGGACAGTCCCCTTATCAGTTCCTAAGTATTTGATCATTTTAGCAAGTCCTCCTGGCTTGGATTGTATTGCCTTAGTACATGTTAAGCAATTTCTTTGCAAGTCTTTTAGTAACAGAACAGCTTTAATTATTTGTAGGCATCTTCCTTTCTTATTTCACATAAAATATTTGGATATAGTTTTGCAAGAAATAAGAATTGGACTCATTCCTTCAGAGAATAACGCTTTGCTGATTTCAGTGTTATGCCCCAGGGCTCTGTTTCTGTGTCTTGCTGAATATCCAATAACTTTCCTCAATGCCAAATTATAATGGAACATTCTAAAAGGTGTTTTAAATATATTTTAAACTCAATACATAGTTTCAGCATGTACATAACACTGTTGAAATGCCAAAGATACAAAGAGCTTTGACCAACTTTGCACATATGCAGGCATTACAAACTATATTAAATAAATACAGTAAAAACATAATTACTGCTACTTGGCTGACTACAGTTTATAGATTGCCATCAGTTACAAATGAAAACAAAAATTTCAAAAACTTGATTTCAGTGATATGAAAATTTGAACACATGTGAACATTAGAATTGATAAAATAAAATAAATCTTACTTGAGTTGGTGGTGGTATTAACTATAACCTAGAACTGTTGGAGAATTCAGTGATGCCTTAGAATGTTTGTTTTGTTATTATTTTTTTAATGACATAAAACCACTGAAGATTCATAATCTTTTTTATAGCTTAAAACCAGAGATAGATACATCAGTAGCCTGAAAAAGAAGTGCCAGAAGGAATCTGAACAAAACAGAGAGAAGCAGAGAAGAATTGAGACCTTGGAAAAGTATCTGGCTGATCTTCCAACCCTAGATGATGTACAGAGTCAGAGTCTACAGGTAACATGAAATAAAATGTATTAATACTTGGGAACGATTTCTAGTTCAAACACACTTAATATTTCATATTTTATGAATTTTAAAAATTTCTTCTTAGCTGCAGGTTCTAGAAGAAAAAAACAAGAATTTGCAAGAGACTTTGATAGATATGGAAAAAAATCTTGAAGAGATTAAAAAACAGTGTCAAGAGAAAGAGACACAGCTAATGTGCCAGAAAAAGAAAGAAAAGGAGTTGGTAACTACAGTTCAGAGGTAAGAAAACCTTCAGTAATTCTTTTGTTATTTTTAAGTTATTTATATTTTTCATAAAGCATTTCACTTAAAATACACTAATTGTCTTTTTTTTTTTTTTTTTATTTGAGAGAGAGAGGAAGGGAGAGGGAGAGAGAGAAACATCGATGAGAGGGAACATCCATTGGCCGCCTCCTGCATGCCTCCCACTGGAAATTGGGCCCACAACCTGGGCATGTGCCCTGACTGGGAATCGAACCTGTGACTTCTTGGTGCATGGGTTGATGCTCAACCACTGAGCCATACTGGCTGGGCCAAAATACATTAATTTTTAATTATTACTCTTAATTCTTATCTTAAAGATGTTCTATGAAGAACCAGAAGTATGGTGTCATTAAAACAGGTTATGTTAGTTGTTGTTTAACTTTTTTTTGTTGTTAATCCTCACCTGAGAGTATTTCCCATTGCTTTTTTAGATAGAGTGGGAGAGAGGGAGAGAGAGAAAGAGAGAGAAGAACATCAATGTCAGAGACACATCGATTAGTTGCCTCCCACCCAGGGCCAGGGATCAAACCTACCACCAGGTACATGTCCTTGACAGAATCAAATCCATGACCCTTCAGTCTGTGGGCCTGATGATCTAACCACTGAGCAAAACTAGCCAGGGCTTATTTAACATTTTGATGCAATATACTGACACCTTGCCAAAGGTTTATAAGTAAAAATTCAATAAACGAAAGAGAGGCAGCCAAATGCTCAAACTGTACTCCTTAGTGAGCTATGTCCAAGTGAAGCAATGGACTCCCATTTCAGCTCTCGCAGAGGACAGACAGGACTGCTTGCCAACGTACCTTCCAGGCTTACTCACACATCTTGCCTCATGGGACTCCGCTTTTAAATCGCGGCAGTTAGAATTACAGTGAATATCATTTGTTAGTATATTTAGCTAATGTATTTAAGCTGGGAAATTCATATTGGATTCCTGAAAAATCTAGCCAACTGTGTTATATATGCATGTACATGTACTCTCTGTCTTGTAAAACTTAATAGATTATTGATCATAAATAGACAAAATATCCTGAAGAATGACAGCAAAACAACAAAAAACTAAATTTAAGAGATACACTCTTCATGCTTGTCTCAATTATATATAACTCAGTGTATTCCCGGATGTTTAATCAAAATCTATATGCTAATTTCATGTTAATATTGCTTTACTATTTTCAGTCTTAAATATGCCTGGTCTGTTTTTTTGTTTTTGTTTTTTCCCTTGGATTTCAGTGCAGAAAATTCCAATTTCTGGGACTGTTCAGTCTTCAGTGCTTCTAACCTAGGCTCCAAAAAAATTCATACACTTTGACTCGACCTTTACTTTTCTCCCATTTCCTGCTGTCTTGCTTTTTAAGGGAACTTTTTATAATGCCACATCTTATAGCCTATCTCTTGTCTCCATAGCTTTCTGACTTCTGCTAATTCTACCTTATATCTTTTTCTTTCATCTTGCTGATAAAATGAAACGAGGTAATATATCCATTCTGTTTTCTAGGGCATTATAATTATAAACTCAAGCTGTGTTGTTTTATGAATATAGGATTAGGAACACTTGAAAATAATTTGAATGTTTGTTTTGTTCCAGTGTGTGCTTTTACATATTTAATGTGACTTTATACCTTCTCTATTATTTAGATTTTCTTTTTTATTAAGTTTTTGGAGAACATTGAGACTAGTGTTTTTTATGCATTTCAGAATACATTTTCCATTTCTTAACTTTATCTTGATGCTCTCTGAGGTGATATTACCCCAAAATATTTCTCTTGATTTCAAATAGATGCAAAGGACCCAGGAAGGTCTTGTATAATTCTTCAATACTTGTGTGGCTGTGGTGTCACTTGACTTTGGGGGCAGGAGTGCTATTTCAGTTTCCTCAGCTGTATGATGTAGTATTCCTTAAGTTCCAGAACTGCAGATGTGCACGTGACTTTGAAATATATCATTACAGTTTTCTGTTTTGTATAATATTTCTAAGTTACCTGCTTTATGAATACATAAGAACTTTTGAGATTTCAAAATGAAATAAGAAAAGTTTTCTATTACAGATGAAAAGTAAGTAAATATGTGGGTGTGATCTCTACTAATGCAATAGTTGGTACCTTTGCTGATCAAGAGATTTATTATTTGTTTTAAGTGAGCATGCTTTATAGCATAAAGAAGATGAGAATGGATATATGAAAAAAGGATTACTTGGTATTTTTCCATGACAGAGTACCTTTTTCCCTCTTCATAGTCAGCTTATTTATTTTTTTTTATATGAAAGACCTTAGAAGTTTTATTTCTTTTAGAATGTTATAAATATAATCGTGTCCTGACTGCATTCTGGAATAAAAATAATGTGTTTTTCACTTTTAGTCTGAGAAAGCAAGTTTTTGTTTTGTTTTGTTTTGTTTTTATGACAAGTAATATATTATGAAGCAGTACACTACATTTGTAATACAAAAAAACTTCTTTGGTGCCATTATTTACCAATACATCTGAAGCCCATATTGTGTCATTAGGACTGTCAAGTCTTTGTCTATAATCTGAATATCATATTTCTTATTTTTCTTTTTGAATTTCTGTAAGCATTTATTTGAGCCAAACTGAGAACAGTCTTGGGAAGCAAGATCTCAAATGCTCCTTTTCTTTTTTTGAGGACAGGATAGCCATAATACTTTGAAGAAGAAAAATAATGAAAATATCAAAACCCAAATAAAATGAAGTCTATTTCTTTTAGTACTCTGCAACTGTCACATATGATCACAGGCTAAAGTAGAGCTATCACTAGGTGTCTTACTGTTATATTATGGTTTTAGTCATTATTGTAAATGGTATAGTTCCTTTTAACCCAAACACGACTATTCTTTCTTTCTCAAGGCTAATGCCATTCCCCTATCCCCATCCTTTTATTCTTTTTTTTTTAATCCATTCTTTTATTCTTAATGTGCCAGAGAACCTTTTTTTTGTTTCCTCTTCTAAAATGCAACTCTGTTCCATGAATAGTGTGAGAAACTGTTAGGTGAAGTAATAACTATATTAGATTGCTGCTCTTATTAATAAAGGAGAAATGTGATTCTGGTTCAGGCAACAGCTGTCTTTAAAAACTTTTCCAGAGCTCAGAATGAAGGGCAAAAAATGTGTATTCATATTCTTAGATTCCCTACCACAGTCATCTTAACCAAGTAGCTCTGCCTTTGGTGCGGAGAGGCGGAGAAGAACTTAGCGTGCAGAGCTCAGATTAGGGTAATGAAGGCCTAAGGATGTCACGTACTAAGCAACTTGACTCTGGTCTGATTCCTGAAAAGATGATCAGCTCCAATGTATTTCTTACTTTCATGAAATATAGGCACTCAAACTTACTCATATACTGTCTTAAGTCTTGATTATTGCTTGATTAAAAAATATTATAGACTCTAAGAAGGATCTTCATTTATGAAGTCCTCTACCAAAGTCAGCATATAAAGCCTATTTTCTTTTTATAATTGTCTTTCTAAAATAAACAGTTTGCAGCAAAAGGTAGAAAGATGCCTTGAAGATGGAATTCGCCTTCCTATGTTAGATGCAAAACAGCTTCAGAATGAAAATGATAACCTGAGAGAACAAAATGAGAATGCTAATAAGGTCAGTATATATGTATGATAATATACATGAAATCTATATTATGTGGCTGTGTGTATCTAGCTACATAATTTGTAGTCATTTGATTTATACTTTTGCTAATATTTAATTGCTGATAGAATTTTTAGTTTGAATGTTTTTATTTGGAAAGAAAGTTACAATTTAAGTAAACTTAAATAAAAACCAAACTCAGGAAATTATATTACTTATCAGCAAAAACAAAAGGATATCTTTTTTCTTCCTAAATTATTAAGGTCTGTTTCAAAGTTATTTTTATAAATTTCACTAGAGAAAATTATTATCCAGAAGTAAAGAAGGAGTTTTGCAGTTTTACATATATGTGATCCAAAGCATGGGGCTATTTAAAGGGTACCTGGTATGAATACTTATTTAAAAAATTACACTATGATTTAAAAAAATAATTTATAATTCCCTGTGATTTTTGTTTGGTTTTCTTGGAATACTGGTAATTTTTTTTTGGGGGGGGGGGGGCACTTGAAATTTTTTTTTTTATTAATTTGTTTTTGTTACAGACGTTTCTCCTTTTCCCCCCATTGACACCCTCCTTCCCATTCCCCCCTCCCACCCCATCCCCAGCTTTGTTGTCTATGTCCATTGGTTATGCATACATGCATATAAGTTCTGTGGTTTATCTCTCCCCCTCCAAACCCCTCTCCTCTGAGGCTTGTCTTGTCAGTCTGTACCTCACCTCTATGTCTCTGGGTCAATTTTGTTTATCAGTTTGTTTAGTTCATTATATTCCATAAATAAGTGAGATCATGTGATATTTGTCTTTCTCTGCTTGGCTTGTTTCACTTAGCAAAATACTCTCCAGGTCCTTCCATGCCATCTCAATGGATAAGAGATCATTCTTTCCTACAGCTGCATAGTACTCCATTGTGTACATGTACTACAGCTTTTTTATCCACTCATCTACTGAGGGGCACTTGGGTTGTTTCCATATCTTAGCTATTATAAATAGTGCTGCTATGAACATAGGGGTACATAAATTCTTTCTGATTGGTCTTTCAGGTTTCTTAGGGTATATTCCTAGAAGTGGGATCACTGGGTCAAATGGCAGTTTAATTTTTAACTTTTTGAGGTAACACCATAGTGTTTTCCACAGTGGATACAATACCTAAGGCAAGAGAAACAAAGGTAAAAATGAAAACATGGGACTACATCAAACTCAAAAGCTCTGCACAGTGAAAGAAACAACCGTCAAAATGGAAAGGGATCCCACTATATGGAAGACCATAATCACCAATGATGCATCAGATAAGGGGTTAATTTCCAAAATACATAGAGTGCTCATACAACTCAACAAAAGGAAGACAAAGAACCCAATTAAAAAATGGGCAGAGGACCTAAATAGACATCTCTCCAAAAAGAACATACAGATGGCCAAGAAATACTGATACTTTTAGAAAGCAATGGGAAAAAAAATGATTCAGACTGATATATTTTCTGTGTTTTAGATAATAGAGAGCCAACAAGATGAGATTGACAGAATGATTTTAGAAATTCAGGTAAGACGCGTTTTGTGCTTATTTTCACTTAGCTATATGCCAGTTTACACAACCTAAAAAGTATTAAAGCATATATGCATTTGTATTTAAAAATTAATAGCATTTGAGATGAAGTTGCAAATTTTTAAAATATTTTTTAGTTTTTTAGAACAAAAATGCTATGCGGTAAATTGTAAAAATTGTCTGTTCTCACTTGTCCTCTTCTTAATTGTCCTCTTTCTTCTACTAAGAACACATTTGGTTGAAGTCATCATGATCTAATTAAAGACAGCAGACTGTTTTTAGTCCACTGTGACTGCATGAGTGTTCTCCTTCCCAACAATTCTATATATTATTGCCTCTGTATTATCAAAGTATAAGACTTTGTTTATGTATTTGTGTCTTTACCTTCTACTTAGTTTCATGAGAGTGGAGACTGGTAGGTAATCTGTCTACATATCCAGAGTTTAGAGTATCTAACCCATAATGCACAATCCAAAATTTGTCTATTAGATGGATTTTTTAATTGATTTTCCATATTTACTGAGCATCTTTATATGTGCCAGGCACTATTCTTGGTGCTGGGGGGAGTTTCTGACCATTGCGTGGAGTGAGATGGAGAAAATGGAAGTACAATATCAGGTAGTGATATAAGCTATTTTAAAAAGTGGGGTAGAGGGCAATAACAGTGCTCCATTAGATACAGCGGTCATTAATTTTCACCTGAGGAAATACTATTTAAACAGAGATCTGAATGAAGATAACCAGGGGAAAAGCATTCCAGGCAAAGAAAGCAGTCATTTCTCTGCATGTTCCTGGTGTAGTCCAGGTCCAGCGAGAAAGCTGCTGTGTGGAGTGCAGCGATGGTGAGGTGGAGGGGTGAGAGGGACAGCAGCAAGCAGCCTGAGCCAGATGACATAGGGGCATGTGTTCCTTGTATTTTATTCTAAATATGATGGAAAGCCATTGGGAAAATTTTCCTGGGTAATTTTATTTTTCAATCTTCACCCCAGAATATTTTTTCCTTTATCTTCAGACAGCGTGGTGGGAGAGAGAGAGAGAAAGAGGGAAACATCAATGTGAGAGAGACTCATCGATTGGCTGCCTCTTGCATGACTCTGACCAGGGTTGGGAATTGAATTGCAACCGAGGTACATGCCCTTGACTGGAATTGAACCCGCAACTCTTTGGTCCATGGGCCGATACTCTAACTGCTGAGCCAAACTGGCCAGGGCTGAATAAATATTTTTATATCTCCTAATTCTAATACTACTTCTTTAAAATGGGAGTAAAAAAGGAAAAGGTAGATGGTTTGTGTCAGAATTATAGACAGTCTCTTTTGATTGTCTTTGGCCGTATTGAATAATTCATCAATTTAATCAAACACTCGTCCCAGTTCAACAAGTACGTGGTTCTGCTTGATTGATTCTCAGAGGTTATACTCCTAAGCTTATATTTCCACAGACATAACTTCAGTTGTTCTACAAGCCATTTGAATCACAAGATGGTTAGGTTTCTTCAACCGTTATTTGACTGATAGACCATAATTAAAGGAATTGCTATTTCACTTGGTAACATTTTCTGAGAAGTAAATCTAGGAAAAGTTATTTCAATCCAAATTAAGGACAGTCAACATTGTCCTTTGGCACTGAAATTTTTGGAGGATAAGACTTGTAAGATTTTGTTTCTTTATTACATGCTGTCTCTCATTATAGATGTTCAGGATATATTTGTATTAATTGAAATGTGCATTTGCCCCATTTGTTGAGGCATCTTAATACAATTTATTCTTATACATTGTTAAGGATGTATTTCAGACTTTTAATCACACTTAGGTATGTCATGACCATATGTAATCAGATACATAGAATATATAATTATATACTCTTCCATTCTTTGATCTTAAAATGCTTCAGTGAACTTTTTAATTTTTTTATTTAAACTAATTTGAGACTGGAAGTCAAATTAGTGAAATGCATTTATTGCCAAATATTCAGATCCAGACAATACAATATACTCATTGATTCTGTCATCTTGTAAAGCAGTGACTGTCTCTCTCTTTTTTGTCTTAGCCTTTTTGTCTGTCTAGGTCTCTACATCTAGTATGTAGTTTGTTCCCAGAGACAGACAGCAAATGTTGAGAGCTGGCCAACGTAGCTGTATTTATCAAGGTGTTATTTGGACAGAACATTATAGAGGAAGACAAATATGCCTCAGATAGTGAGAACATTTTACACTTTAATGTTACATTTAAACTTGGTTTTTAACCCTCACAATTAAAAAACCTGATTTTTGTTTGTTATTTGGTGGTCTGTGATGAATATAAAAGGTGTGAACTCTATAAAAACCTGAATTTATTGCCTATTCTGAAAACATGAATACTAATTATTTCTCTAGCATTGGAAACCAGAGAGAGAATCCTAAAGAGAACATTTAGGTTGAAAAAGTATACTTGTTGCTTTGTACTACAGTTAATGGGCATATTATCAAGTTGATACATGTAATAGAGCACTTCCCTTCAATCATCTATATAAGCTAATGGGAAAAAACCGGGCAGCTTCAAAGAATTAGTAATTGTCCCCGGCGGTTGTGGGTCAGTGACCCTCGCACCCAAGTACTGCGGTTGGATGGTATGTTCAGGAGGCAACTGATCACTGTCTGTCTCTCTCATTGATTTTTCTCTCTTTCTCTCACTTCCCATCCCTCCCTCCCTCCCAGTGGAAAAAAAAAATGTCATTGGTTGAGGACTAACACAAACAAGAATGGCCAACCTTATGCCTATGTAGATTATGATGTCTTTCTCATATGCTATAACTGGTTTTTCAGTTTCTTCAGATTTCTTTGCATAGCCAAAATAACACAAAATCTTTATAATTAAGGATAGTAGAGAGTTTCCCAACCATTTTAAACATGAACGAGGCATTTTAGCTCTCAGTATAGTATTAACTTTGTTTAAAATGAAATCCTACAATTTCACGGCCATTACAGTTTGCATGCTTTTTGGCCCTCTGTAGTGTGGGAGGTTGTTCTGTTTCAAAGAAGTCATGGAGTAGACACAGCAGACTTAGCATCTTTAGATTTTAATGTTTTACTGCTTCTTTTGTCACTGAGAACTATTGAGGAGACCAAACTTATTATTTGGCTGATTTGGAATATTACATTGCTATAGGTACAAGCAGGGTATTCTTACAGTTTAAATTCTATGACAAGAGGGAAATAAAAATAAAATCCCTTGTCCTGTTTATTTTATGTCCAATTTATAGGAGATAAAAATAAGGCAGTTACAGAGTGAAAATGCTGTATTTAAAACACACCGTTAGTAGGGGTAAAAAAGGAGAAACATCTGTAACAAAAATAAAATTAACAAAGAAAAAATAAATAAATAAAAAATAAAATAAAACACACCGTTAGCAGTTTACTACCTTGCACCAGAAGTTCAGTAAATACTTACCTGATTTAGGTAAGGGGCAAGTCGATTGATTGATTTACCACTTTGCAAGTCGGGGAGAAATCAGTCTTCCACTAGTTATATTGTATTTATTGTTAAATATAATAAAAGTAGTACTTCATGTAAAAGTATTTGCTGATTTTGAAATTGAGTTGAGTGCTATAAAAATACAGGTTTATCTACTACTTTGGTTGTCGAGGTTATATTAACTGGCATGAAAATTTTGTTTACTCATTGATCCTTTAGAAATAATGCCTTTCTTTACATCCATGAAACCAGTATGCCTAAATTGGCTTCTTCTCCTGCAGGTTTTTCTTCTGTCATTATGGAGTATAAAAAGACATTTTGCATTAAACATTCCCCATCATTTCAATAAATGTGACTGCAGTCAGAAAGTGAATGAGTTCTTCACTGGGCATTACCTTCCTTCCCATTTATTCCTGATAAGCACCTGCCCCTGCATACACCTGTCTCCAGTGCACGGTTAACCACTGTAATCTTTATCAGAGGCAGTCTTTTGGAGGGAGGTGGGCAGCAGCCCTACACCTTGGCTTACCTTTTCCAGTGTGGAACCCCTGCCCCAGAAGCCAAAGCAGGGGCAGCCAGGGTCCCCGTAGTTTTAGGTTCCGCACATAAGTGATGTAAAGCCTCCATCCCATGAGGGAGCCTGGGCGGAAGGAGAGTGCCCCACCTTTGGCTGTACTTGCCTGGAACTTGGCCTAAGCTGCAGGTAGCTGAGGACTGGATGAGGAAAGCTGTTGTCCTGCCTCTCCTGGGAAGATAGCTCTTCAACTGGGAGCTAGGGAGAGATGGGGCCTGGTGTTACTGGCTGTCCTTGTCTGGACTGGAATGTGCATCTCACTGAGCTATGAGTGAGTGGGTGGAGTGGATTTTGTTTAAAATATCACAGACTTAATGCTTTTCTTACTGAGTTTTAGTAGATTTTCTTGAATGTTGTTGTCAGACAGCTATAGTGCTCATACCTAGTATTATCCTAGAAATTATACAGCACTTGGTCCTTTTAGGATAATCATCTGTGAACTTCTTCCCCTATTTAAGATCTGCCTGATAAGTACCCTTGAACCCAACCAATGCAACGTATTAAGCTTGATGTATTTCCCAGCTTCAGTTTTCCCTCTTAATGACAAACAGCACTATTGCCAAACATTTTTTATTTATTTTGATGGAGGAGATTGTCTGTTTCTTCACTGGTTTAAATTTAGTCTACGTAGGAACATAGAGGGTGGGGCAAAAGTACATTTACAGTTGTTCATATGGAAAATAATACAATCATTATTAAATAATACAAGAATAAACTGTTTTGTGCATGCAAAACTGTAAACCTATCTTTGTCACACTCTGTATTAGATTTACTAGCTAATTACCAGTTATAAATAATTATGAGTTTGAAAAATATAAATATGAAATATATTAATATAAAATACTATAATCTTCTTAAGAATTATGTTACAGCGTGGGTTCAGTTTTCATTGTTGAAATATGACATTTAGAGCAGTTTTACCTGGTGCTTTTCTTCTACAGTTCTAATAGTCACAAATCTTAAGCATACTTAGGATGAATTCTGAATTCTAGCTAAATAATTTTGTCATGCCAATAAGCATTGACCTTCAGCTGGGTAAATAAATCCTCATGTATCAGTCAATCAGATAGGTGTTGATTCATTCAAATGTAGTTACAAAGGAATTTCAGTTTCCCAAAATATACATACTCAGAGAGCCCATGCGACTTTGTGCTGTAAGATTCGTTTTTGAATACAAAACAAGTTTTCCCTAGAAAGAAATGTACTTATCGTAGAACTTACTTCATTTGTGTGCAACTTTTGAGTTATTAAATGTAATGTTTTTTCAGAGTTTGGCAGATAAAGTAAAAAACCACGGGGTGAATATCTGTTGTTGAGAAAACTGTTTCATGTTTATGGAGTCTTACCTCAGCCCATGGTAACTACTCTCTCTTATTCCACCCAGAGACAATGTGAGGAAAATAACCTCCATAGTGGATCGTGCGCTGTTCAGGTGGTCAGCATTCTGAAATATTTTCAGAGTTGAGAGTAAATTACAATCCTGAGGGAAAAAATTATATCTCTTCTCTGGTCATATGTTTATTGATCTTGTAGTTTAACAAAAAGAAAAATGTTGATAAAAATACCTAGATATCACTGGTTAACTACAGGGATTATGGCAAATTTCTCTTTGGTGTGTAGCTGAAAATTAGATTTAGAAACTAAAATGACACATGTACCCCTAAAATATCCTATATGCTTCTTTGGTATACTCAGTATCTTCTCATGATAGTATCGTGTCTGGATAATTTGTAATTTTATACTGGAGTCAAGAGATCAGTTTTTCAGAGCCCCATAATATATACAGGCCCTTGCCCTGAATTCAGCATCATATGCACGTGGAATACTACACTGAGAAGGGTGTTCGAATGACAGAAAATAGGGATGGTCTTATGATCTTATTAATCATAAGAAAAATGTAAAGAGAGGTATAGATTTGTTAATACACTCCTAATATGTAAACAAAATTCAGTTAATAAAATAAGAACTATTTGTAATATAGCATTAAACAGCAACTTTAGATTTAACATGTTTTACCCAGATTAAAACTTTCTTGGAAAAAGTGGTATTTTTTTTCTTGTTGTAGTCATGTTCTCAAGAGATAATATGGGTTGATTTAAACATGAGCACTTTATCTTCTAAGGGGCTGGGGAGGACAGTAGATCTAAACTATTCTCAGTCAGTGTTCCTTGCTACCTACCAGATTGCATTTTGCTTTCAGTTTTAACGTGCTTTGCTTTACAATTCTCTTTAGTCTATGCAAGGGAAACTTTCCGAAGAAAAACTAACTACTCAAAAGATGATGGAAGAGCTGGAAAAGAAAGAAAGGAACCTACAGAGATTAACAAAAACATTGCTTGATGTGAGTAGAAGAAATTCAAATTACTTTCAAAGGCTGATTCAGTACTTCTCTGAGTTAAAGCAAATGCTTATTTTGTACATATTAAAAAAATATTTTTAAATTGAAGACTTGATTTCAATGTGCCAGTCAATTAAATCTATTAGGTTTCTTACTAAAATTATAATAAAAAGACAGTCTTTCTTTTTGTTTATGTCTTAGAATGCAGTTCCACAGACTTGTCTGTAGCAAAGTGGCATAAATTCAATGTACAGAATTACCTAGGGAATCTTGAAGGAAGATGCAGTGTTGACACTGTCATTGGAACAGAGTACACTTTCTTCATTTAATTATGAGATGAAATACTTGGCCTGCATTTAAGGACATGTTATACAAATAACACTTAGTTTTTTAACTGTCATCATGACATTTGCCACTTAGATGTTTCAGAATGCATCTTCAAATATTAGGGACATTTTCTTTTCTTTTTATTTTTTTTATCAGAAGTGTGAGTTTATTAATTAATTTTTGTTACAGATGTTTCTCCTTTTCCCCCCACTGATTCCCCCCTCCCCCTCCCTCCCTGCCCTGTCCCCAGTCTGTTGTCCATATCCACTGTTCATGCATACATGCATAAAAGTACTGTGGTTTATCTCTCCCCCACCATCCCCTCTTCTGGGGATTGTCAGTCTGTACCCCACTTCCACGTCTCTGGGACTACCCCATTCCTCAGACTGTTATGTTTATTATATTTCACAAATAAGTGAGATCATAAGATACTTGTCTTTCTCTGCTTGGCTTGTTTCACTTAGGATGATACTTTCCTGGTCCCTCCATGTAGTCTCAAAGGATAAGAGATCTTTCTTTCTTACAGCTACATAGTACTCCATTGTGTATATGTACCACAGCTTTTTTATCCATTTGTCTATTGATGGACACTTGGGCTGTTTCCAGATCTTAGCTATTGTAAATAGTGCTGCTACAAACATGGGGGTACAGATATTCTTTCTGATTGGTGTTCCAGACTTCTTAGGGTATATTGCTAGAAGTGGGATCACTGGGTCAAATGGAAGTTCAATTTTTAATTTTTTGAGGTAACACCATATTGTTTTCCATAGTGGCTGCACCAGTCTGCATTTCCACCAGCAGGGTACTAGAGTCCCCTTTTCTCCACACCCTCACCAACACTTGTTGTTTGATGATTTGTTGATGGCGGCCATTCTGACAGGTGTGAGGTGATACCTCATTGTTGTTTTAATTTGCATCTCTCTGATGATTAGTGATGATGAGCATTTCTTCATATGTCTCTTAGCCATTTGTATGTCCTATTTGGAGAGGTGTCTATTTAGTTCCTCTGCCCATTTTTTAATTGGGTTCTTTGTCTTCCTTTTGTGGAGTTGTATGAGCACTCTATATATATTGGAAATTAACCCATTATCTGATACATCATTGGCAATTATGCTCTCCCATACAGTGGGGTAGCCTTTCCGTTTTGATGATTGTATCTTTCGCTGTGCATAAGCTTTTGAGTTTGATGTAGTCCCATGTGTTCATTTTCTCCTTTGTTTCTATTGCCTTAGGTGATATATCAGTGAAAATTCTGCTGTGTATAATATCTGAAATTTTGTAGCCAACAGTTTCTTCTAGGATTTTTATGGATTCATGAGTCACATTTAAGTCTTTTATCCATTTTGAGTTTGTTTTTGTGTAGGGTATAAGTTGATGGTCTAGTTTTATTTTTTTGCATGTAGCTGTCCAGTTTTCCCAGCACCATTTATTAAAGAGGCTGTCCTTACTCCACTGTATGCTCTTGCCACCTTTGTCACATATTAATTGAGCATATTGCTTGGGTCCATTTCTGGGTTCTCTGTTCTGTTCCACTGGTTTATATGCCTGTTCTTGTGCCAGTACCAGGCTGTTTTGATTACGATGGCTTTGTAGTATAACCTGAAATCGGGTAACGTGACTCCTCTAACTTTGTTCTTTCTTTTCAAGATTGCTGTGGCTATTCGAGGTTTGTTTTTGGTTCCATATAAACTTTTGAAGTATTTGTTCTAGTTCTGTGAAGTATGCCGTTGGTATTTTGATGGGGATTGCATTGAATATATAGATTGTTTTGGGTAATATGGACATTTTAATGATGTTAATTCTCCCAATCCATGAACAGGGTATGTGCTTCCACTTTTTTATATCTTCCTCTATTTCTTTTTTCAATGACCTGTAGTTTTCTGCGAATAGGTCCTTTATTTCTTTGGTTAAGTTTATTCCTAGGTATCTTAATTTTTTTGCCGCAATGGTAAATGGGATTGTTTTCTTAGTTTCTCTTTCTGTGAGTTCATCCTTGGTGTATAAGAATGCCATCGATTTCTTGACGTTAATTTTGTATCCTGCTACTTTGCCAAATTTATTTATTAAGTCTAGTAAATTTTTGATAGAATCTTTGGGGTTTTCTACGTATAGTATCATGTCATCTGCAAATAATGACAGTTTCACTTCCTCCTTTCTAATTTGGATACCTTTTATTTTTTCTTCCTGTCTCATTGCTGTGGCTAAGACTTTCAGTACTATGTTAAATAAGAGTGGCGAAACTGGGCATCCTTGCCTTGTTCCTGTTCTTAAGGGAAATGCTTTTAGTTTTTGCCCATTGAGTATGATGTTGGCTGTAGGTCTTTCATATATGGCCTTTTTTATGTCGAGATATGATTCTTCTATTCCCACATTGCTGAGCGTTTTTATCAGAAATGGATGCTGGATTTTTTTGAAGGCTTTTTTGGCATCTATTGATACGATCATGTGGTTTTTATTCTTCATTTTATTTATGTGGTGTATCACATTTATGGATTTGCGAATATTGTACCAGCCTTGCATCCCTGGAATGAATCCCACTTGGTCATGGTGGATAATTTTTTTGGTGTATTGTTGGATTCGATTTGCTAGTATTTTGTTCAGGATTTTGGCATCTATGTTCATCAGGGATATTGGCCTGTAGTTTTCTTTCTTTGTAGTGTCTTTTTCTGGTTTTGGAATTAGAATTATGCTGGCCTCATAGAACGTGTTTGGAAGTCTTCCTTCTTCTTCAATTTTTTGAAATAGTTTGAGGAGAATGGGTGTTAGTTCTTCTTTGAATGTTCAGTAAAATTCCCCCATGAAGCCATCCAGGCCTGGGCTTTTGTTTGCTGAGAGAGTCTTGATTACATCTTCAATTTCTTCTGTTGATATTGGTTTGTTCAAGTTTTCTATCTCTTCCTGGTCCAGTTTTAGGAGACTATGTGTTTTTAGAAATTTGTCCATTTCATTTAGATTGTCAAATTTGTTGCCATATAATTGTTCATAGTAGTTGTTAACGATCTTTTGTATTTCTGTGGTGTCAATTGTTACTTCTTCTCTTTCATTTCTAATTTTGTGTATTTGGGTTCTCTCTCTTTGTTTCTTGGTGAGTCTAGCTAAGGGTCAATTAATCTTGTTTATCTTTTCGAAAAACCAGCTCTTTGTTTCATTGATCCTTTGAATTGTTGTTTTGGTCTCCATGTCATTTATTTCTGCTCTGATCTTTTACTATTTCCTTCCTTCTACTTGCTCTGGGGTTTTTTTTGTTTGCTCTCTAGTTCTTTAAGTTGTGAGGTTAAATAGTCTATTAGACATTTTTCTTGTTTTTTGAGGTAGGCCTGTAGTGCAATGAACTTCCCTCTCAGAACTGCTTTCGCTGCATCCCATAGATTTTGTGTTGTTGTGTCTTCATTTTCATTGGTTTCCATGAAGTTTTTCATTTCTCCTTGATCTCCTCGGTGACCCATTCATTGTTTAATAACATGCTATTTAGCTTCCATGTGTTCAAATGTCTTTGTATGTTCTTGTTGCAATTGATTTCTAGTTTAATGCCATTGTGATCTGAGAAGATGCCTGATATGATTTCAGTCTTCTTGAACTTGTAGAGACTTAGTTAGTGCCCTAACATGTGGTCTATCTTTGAGAATGTCCCCTGTGCACTTGAGAAGAATGTGAATTCTGTAGTTTTGGGGTGTAGTTCTCTGTAGATATCTATTAAATCCATTTGGTCTAGTGCTTCGTTTAGAGTCTCTGTTTCCTTGCTAATTTTTTGTCTAGAGGATCTATCCAGTGATGTCAGCTGCTTGTTGAAGTCCCCTGCTACGATTGTATTGCGATCGATTTCTTCTTTGAAGTCCTCTAGAAGATTTTTAATGTATTTTGGTGCTCCTATATTGGGTGCATATATGTTTATCAAGGTTATATCTTCCTGTTGGATAGATCCTTTCAGTATTATGTAGTGGCCTTCTTTGTCTCTAGTTATGGCCTTCATTTTAAAATCTATTTTATCAGATATGAGTATTGCTATCCCAGCTTTTTTTTCCTTTCCATTTGCTTGGAAGATTTTTTTCCATCCCTTCACTTTTAACCTATGCGAGTCTTTTGTTGTGAGGTGGGTCTCTTGGAAACAACATATAGATAAGTCATGCTTTCTTATCCAATCAGCTACTCTGTTTCTTTTTATGGGAGCATTCAATCCATTTACATTTAAGGTGATTATTGATATGTACTTATTTATTGCCATTTTTGTTTAGTATGGTTCTATTTTTCTTCCCATTTCTCCTGCTAATTACAGCAGTCCTTTTAACATTTCTTGTAGTGCTGGTTTGGTGCTAATGTATTCCCTTAGCCTTTTATTGTCTGGGAAGCTCTTTATTTGACCTTCTATTTTGAATGATAGCCTTGCTTGGTAGAGTAGTCTTGGATTCAGATTCTTGTTTTTCATGACTTTGATTACTTCATGCCATTCCCTTCTGGCCTGTAGTGTTTCTTGTGAGAAGTCAGCTGAGAGCCTTATGGGGTTTCCTTTGTAGGTAACCTGTTGTTTCTTTCTTGCTGCTTTTAGGATTCTCTCCTTGTCTTTAATTTTTGTCAGTTTGATTACTATGTGTCTTGGTGTGGGCCTGTTTGGGTTCTTCTTACTTGGGGCTCTCTGTGCTTCTTGAACTTGAATGCCTTCTTCCCTCACCAAATTAGGAAAGTTTTCTGTCACTATTTCTTCAACTATATTCTCTAACCCTTGCTCATTTTCTTCTTCTTCAAGGACTCCTATGGTACGAATATTATTCCGTTTCCAGTTCTCCCACAGTTCTCTTAAGCTGTCTTCCTGTTTTTTAATCATTTTTTCCTTTTGATTTTCTGATTGGTTGATTTTTTCTACCCTGTCTTCTAATTCACTGATCTGGTCCTCAGCTTCCTCTACTCTGCTTTTTAAACCTTCCTTTGCGCTTTTCATTTCTGATATGTCGTTTTTAATTTCCAACTGGTTGACTTTCAACATTTCTGACTTTACTCATGGTGCTCATGTCCTTACACATGCTGTTGAGCTTCCTCAAGATCATGGCTCTGAATTCTAATTCTGTTAACTTGCTTAACTGCACGTCATTTATCTCATCTTCAGTAGAGGTCTCTTGTTGTTTCATTTGGCTTTTGTTTCTGTTTTTCACCATTTTGGCTATCACAGTGGGCTTTGGAGTCTGCCAAATTTTCCCTGTGGGTGTTGGTGTTCTGTTGTTTGTGGCTCCCTGTCCTGGGTTTGGATGAGGCAGGGAGGACCCACTTTAACCACCACTGTCAAGTCTTAACTTTCCTCTAGCTTTTTTTTACTTGGAGGCTATTAGTAGAGGTCACCTGAAGAACCTTGGTTTCTGAGTTGCCTGAAAAACTCCTTCAGGTGCTCAGTGTAAGAGGATTTCCTGAGGGTGGGGCAGCTGCTGGTTGTTAATGGGCCTCAATTAGCATTTCAGTGGCCACCAGGTAGGGTTGAATCTCTGAGGGAGGGGCCACCGCCTCTCCCCAGGGCCCTGGGAAGGAGTAAGATGACCACAGTCCTGCGTGGTTGTATTTTTCTCTTATAATAACATACCTACTTTTTTCTCAATATACAAAAAATGGTTTCAAAGTAATTAAGTCACTGTTGCTACTAATAATAAAACTACAGGATGAGGTATAAGTTTGTTGTTCTTAGGATAAATCTTATAGAAAACACACATACAAGCAAGATGCTCATTATGTGAGAGAATGTGGCATGCCTAGAAATTAAGACTGTTTGGGTTTACGTTTCCTCCATAGGGCATCAGATGGCACAGAGGCACCATTCCACTATTTAAGTTATTTTTCTATTTTCACTTCTCTGTGTATGTAGTTAAATTTGGTTAATGTGCATATAATATTCCACTGTTTTGTTTATAGACTTGGGGGAAAATGTTAACTTGTGTGGCTTTCGAGTACCTTTCCTCTGTTCTAACCACCGGATTTTTGTTTTCTCTATCTATTGCAGAACCAAAGACAAGCAGAAGAGACATGCTCTGTATTGGATCAGGGCCAGGAAACAGACCAGTCCAGGCAGCAGGCGGTTCTTCCCAAACGACCACTATTTGATTTGAGTGTGATTGACCAACTGTTTAAGGAAATGTCTTATTGTTTATTTGACTTGAAGGCACTGTGCAGCATTCTTAATCAGCGTGCCCAGGGCAAGGAGCCTAATCTTTCATTATTACTGGGAATCAGATGTAAGTGGCTGATGATTTGTCCTTACAGTATTGCTTAACAGTTAGAAACCTGTCTTCATGAAGTAGGAACTTCTGACTGCGTTCTCCCTTTGTTTTTAATAGCTTTTCCTGCATAGATTTATAATCTCGGAATCAGTCTGTGAGTCATGAATACTTGTTATTGCTTCATTGCTAGAACTCACAGAAGTGAGCATAGTCATAGTTGATATGGAATGGCACTTGCTGGATGCCTGCAAATCTGCCTGTGTGGATGAGCTGTGCTGAATCTGGTAATACGTGATGCAGTGATGATAGGTGTGAGTTCCTGATTACTCTTCTGTCCACTGGAAAAATACTGAAGACAAGATACTGGCTTTCCTGTGTAGTGTATGTTCTGTGGTGGTTTCATGGCCTACAGATCTGTTGCTCGTACAGTGCGTACCTGCTCGCTGTATCCCTTTCAGTGTGACACCCGCCCGTTTCGGCTCAGCTCTGCCTTCCTCCACACACAGCTGTGAGAGCTGTCCCAGGGACATCCCAGTGTCATATCCCTTCTGTGCCGCTGCAGCAGGAGCCCTCAGCTGCGTGGGGGTTCCCAGTTATAACACCAACATGTTGGGTTCCTTGTTAATACAGAAGAAATGGACTTCAGTTAGGAGGCAGGAGTGGAGTGAGGTCATGAGATTTATGCACCAACGTATTGTACTGAGTCACTGCCAAACAGTATAGTAAATACATACCTCGAGAAGGGACTAGTTTTTTTTCTAGTTTTATCACAAAGATTCCACCATCTTGCATCATAATAGTTATTTTGTCAACCCAAATACGTAATACTCTTGATAAAAGTATATCACTTGTTAAATGAAACAAGTAACTGTGCTCAGAGATGTCAGCAGACTTTGCCCCTTCATTTCATACATGTGTGTTCACATAGGTGAGTGTGGGTATGTAAAAAAACCCTTCGAAATTTAAATATATTTACTCAGTGCATATTCTTTTTTAAAAAATATATTTTTTAGCAAGAGAAGGAGAGAGAGAGAAACATCAATCGGCTGCCTCCTGTACTCCTCATACTGGGGATCAAGCTCGAAACCTGGGCATGTGCCCTGACTGGGAATCGAACCTGTGGTGCATGGGACAATACTCAGTCCACTGAGCCACACCGGGTGGGCTCATTCAGTACATATTCATTAAATACCTTCTATAGTTCAGGCATTATCTGTAATGCAGATAATTTGAATACAGCCCTTGCTCACACAACCAAATTCTTAGGGACAGTGGGAGCCCAAGGGAAAGCCATTAAATCTACCTGGTGAGGGCTACAGAGGCTCCATGGAGGAGCTGGTGTTGGCTTAAATCTTAAAGGAGAACTTCACTAGGTGAATATGGGGTGGTTTAATTCAGTGATGTCTTGGAACAAGAAGTAAAAGTTCACTCTCAAAAGACTCATTTTCTCTACCATTTCAGAGATGGTCACTCTTTCAGTTACTCTGTAACCTACATTTGCATACTCCTATATAGTATTGTTAACCCCTTCAGTAATAGGATAAGAGACCCATCTTAATATGCATTAAAGGGAGATTTAAGAACCTTGTCACATTCACCTCCCAATGAATACTCTTTCCAGTCTTCAAAATTTCACTCCAGAATCCTTACCTTTTACTGACATTGTAAAAATTCAGCCAGCCACCTAATTTGTCAAAACCAATAGATTCTTTTGAATCCTCATCCCTTTGCACCATGGATTGTTTGTTGACACTGTTCAGTCAACCTTCTTAAACTTTGCTACCATGGTTTTCATGACATTACCTCTAGGTTGTGATGCTACCTTTATGACTGCTCTGTCTCAGTCTTCTGTGGAATTCTCTGCCACTTAAATATTGGTGTTCCCCAGCAACCTTGTGTTGTTGGTTTTTTGTTTCTCTTTTTATATATTTCCTCTAAGTAATCTTATTAATGTCCTGTTGTTGTGTTCTGTTATCATGGTACTTTTGACCCATGCAGACATGTATCTCTTATTCTGCCTAGAATGTCCCTTCTGGGCTCCTGATTATATTGACCTGTACATTAGAACTAGCTGCTTCATAGGCATCACAGACTCAGTGTGTCCAAAACAGGGCCTACTTTTCTTCCCTCTGTAAATCTACCTTTCTCTCAGTGAGTAGCACCTATCACCCCAACTGGATTTTATCCTCCTTCCTCCTTTGTCCCATACCCAACCTCTGGCCCCGGTGCACATCGAAGATGATTGGACCTTATCATTTCTCAGCCTCTTATTCCCATCATTACATCTTGATTGCACCGTTGCCTTAATTCCGGCTTTCCTATGGACTGTCTCTCTGTGAACCATCTAGCCCCCCACCCTCCGCCCAGTGCGTTTTCCACAGTGCTGACAGAGGGGTCTGTTGAAATGGGTTCTGACTTCCTAATAGTTATACTTCCCTAAAGAAGAGATAGGTAGCTCACCCCTCTCTTCAGCCTTTTTTCTTGGCACTCACTTCTCTCATAATTTGTGCCCCACCATTTTAGAACTGGTTATTGATTTTCTTTAAGTTTTCAAATTTCACCAGACTGTTTGGTTTTCTGCTTCTATACCATTGCTTACTCTGCTTCCTTGGCCTATCCAGTGAACCGGTCCCCTCTCCAGTCAGGCCTGGTGTTCTCCTCCTGAGGACTCTATAGCCTGTGTATAGTAGTAGGTTATCAACAATACCTGACGGGGCTTGCTTGTTTATGAAAGTGTATGCAAATTATTAAGAATAAGCCACTAGACCTAGCTAGGAGGCTCAGTTGGTTGGAGCATTGTCCCATACACGCAAAGGTTGAAGGTTCTATTTCCAGTCAGGGGACATACCTAGGTTTTGAGTTTGATCTCCAGTTGGGGTCCCTGGGGGAGGCAACCAATTGATGTTTCTCTCTTTGTCTCTTAACATATCTTCAGGTGAGTATTTAAAAAAATAATAAAAATAATAAAAGAATAAGCCACTGTATCCATTATTTTTGCTGACTTCAGCATCTACTGTAGTGCTTGGATCATGGCAGGTGTTCAATTAATGTTTGTTAAAATGAATTACCTGACTCTAATGGCTCTTTCTAGTAAGCCACTAGGTTCAATGAAGATATAAGGAAAGGTTCATTTTAAAAGCACTGGCTCTACTTCTTTTCAGTTGAGATATGCTGACAGAGAGAAACTGGAGTAAATAATTAAGAGCTATCTGACTCCGCGCCTCACCCTCAGTTATTCAGCCACCGAGTACCTAGCAATCAGCCTGATTCAGTTGTTTGGGGGTTGTAGGGTCCCAATCTCTCTCTCTCTCTCTCTCTCGCTCACTCTCTCTCTCTTCCTCTCTCTCTCTCTCGCTCACTGTCTCTCTCTTCCTCACTCTCTCTCTCCCTCTCCCTCTCTCACTATACACACACACACACACACACACACACACACACACACATATATATTTTTTACCATATATTTTGAAAATTTGTTTTCAAGCCAACAAATCCACTTTGCCGTCTGTAAAAATTTAGGTGTCACTCCTCATAACACAATGACTTCAGATTTTTGTCAGATGGGAAGAACTGAGTGTTCTATTGAGCTCAAATACAGTTGTTAGAGGATACTCTTCTACTTCTGGAAGGTTGTCATCCATTAAACTGTTGAGTTTGTGTGCATTACTGTATGAATTTAATGCATTTTAATTAACAAAATTTTAAAAGGCCCAAGTAGATTAAATCTATTTAATATTGAATGATACATAATTTAAATCTGACCCTGAATGGTATTCAGTGCACAGCATTGTATTGCCAATGATAATTAAGTTGAAAATCCTAAAATGGCTTTGTTAAAAAAATGTGAGACATTCTCTTCATATTTTATTTCCACAGCACTGAACTGTTCAGCTGAGGAGACTGAGAATGACCACAGCCAAGAATCACTCACTAAAAAACTGTCAGATGTTTGCCAGTTACGGAGGGACATTGATGAATTAAGGACTACAATATCAGATCGCTATGCTCAGGACATGGGAGATAACTGCATCACTCAGTGACAAGTGTTGGTCCCACAGCAATAATGACCCATTCTTAAATGCTGCTGTGTTCTTCACATTTCTTTTTAGGAGCCCTGGGGTCTATGGCTACACCACCCTGGACGCACCCGATCTCGTCTGCTGTCTGAAGGAGCCGTGTTGGAGAGTTGCAAGTGACATACAACTTGCACATAGGATTTTTTTCTGTGGATTTGTTTTGTTGGGGAGAAAGAAGATGTAAGGTGGCCCCAAGAAAACAAAACAAAAAAACAAAAAAAAAATCTAATCAGGACAAAAAATCAAATTACCATTTGAAAAATGTGATGAAGTGTTTAAGAAAAAACATTCTGTATTCTCAAACTACTGATTGTAGGACCAAGCTGTGAAGAGTGCCCTTCAGATAGAGGGGGTGGGATTACTTCTTACCTTATGTTCTTTTGTGTGTGTGCGTGTTTGTGTGTGTGTGCATGTGTGTTCACAAAATGGTAAGGATTTCTAGGGTCAAAGCAAAGCTTCTGGGAAGAGCACACACTGTTTATTCTTGTATTTTTTTTTTCATTCGTGTAGAAGCTTATGTTACACTTTGGGGTTTTCAAAGGCTGGCTCAGCAAGAGTTCCATCAGCAGGCAAGGGGGGTCATAGCAGCGCAGGAGCAGGCCATTGTGTGAGCAGCCAGGTGCTGCGATGACGAGGCGGGAGGGTCGGGCTGGTTTTAGCGCTGCAGACAGGCCAGCTCTTTTCCACGGTGATTGTGGATGGCCCTGGAGGGGTGAGATTTCGATGTGACAATCTTTTTCACTAGCATAGTGATTTATATATCACAAGGCAATTTAACATAATTTGAACTAGTTTTAACATGTCTCTTACTATTTAGTTTTTACATATATATCATATATATGTATTAATGTGAGCAAAGCCATATATAATTAATACAAACTTTTTAAGGCCTCCTTTCATTATTGTGAAAGAAAGATGAACAAAGTGACTCTGGAACAAAAGCTTATTTATTCAAATCTCAAATGTTTACATTTTAACATTTTGTATCTGTTTTAAAGTTGAAACTACTTTAAGAAAAAGGCAACCCGTCTTCTTTATATCTGAATTGTCACAAGCATAAAAAAAAAAATCTAAATCAGGTGATTCTTCAATTCCTTTTACTAGGCAAAGTACATTAAAAACAGGTGTTTCCCCAGAGTACATACTTGGTCAGGTTAGTTCTGCTGGAGTACATGATATCACTATGAAATGAACTGATGTTTAAGTAGACGTGCAATCACTTAAATTTCCAAATCTCCCTGTTTTAGTTGGTATTGTGGAAGGACTATGTATTTTATTGCCTTTAAAGCATTCATTACACTCTTTTGAATATACTTTGCTATGGCAAACATTGTCATTTATAAGTTGGTTTGTTCTCTTGATGCAGCCAAGTCTCATTTAAGGCAAGACATAAGAGGTAGAAGGAATAAGGGGTGTGAGTCCAGCAAGATAATCCTGTTTGGGGTAAGAGCAGATTACATGTCTGCTTTCTTGCCAGGCTTATATACTGGTATAAAGGCTGCTTCTAGGGAAGATTCTTCTTAAATATTTTCAGCAGTGAAGGTTATCAGGCCTATAAGAAGAATACCCAGGAAGGCATTCAGTTTTGAATTTGGTTTACATTTAGCTCTCAATGAGTTACTTTATAGTTATAATGCAACAATCGATTATAATACATTGTGGGGACTTCAGAGTTTCCTTCTGTTCAGTGCCTGAGTCCTCCCTGCTCTTCTTACTTCGTAGGATCTGGGCACTAAGAAATCAGTACACTGTAGTGATTCTATATCCCATGTCACCTACCCTTAGTAAGGAGGGACTAAGTCACTGGTAAGAACTTGACTTTCTAATATGTTTGTTTGCTTTTTAATGTTGGTGGGCTGAAGACATTCAGGGAGTAGTAAGTTTGTGCCCAAAATGTGACACAAGGAATTCTGCCTTATAAAATTAATATTTATAAAAATGACCCTTTACAGTAAAGTAGATAGTAGCATCTAAAAGAGATAAGACACAAATGCTGCATGCATTTTTATATTCTCTCTTAATAGAATCCCCTCCCCCACCCCAGCCTTCACAATTTTGGAAATTAAGGCACCCTAAAATATAGTACTAATATGCAAATAATCACTGATTTATTTGGGTGACTAGGTCCTTACTTAAATATCTCCTAGGTTTTAGTATATGTTTGGGGATTTTATGGTTATTATTATTTTTTTAAATAAACTTTTGATTGTTTGTATTATAGATACACTTTTGTGGCTTAGTTGAGATAAAATATTTATTTTTAAAAAGTTTTCCAAAACTTTTACAGACTTTCACTTAATTCATATATATTGAGGTTAAAAAAAATTAACTTAGTAGGAAATTAAACTAGTGCTGATGTATTTCATTTTCTAAAATGTATACACTCCATGAAAAAAGGAAATTAAGATGTGATAGTTTAAGTGTTACCTTGAATTACAAAATGTAATCTGTTGGAGTCTGGAGTTTGTGAAAGGAAGTAGATAATAAGTATTGGGCAGGGGGGAATCAAACTAGTATTCAGTTCATCAGTATTTAAATTTACTTTTCATTTTTCAGAATATTCCCTCTCCTAAGACAACCTCTTGTGTTAGTTTGAACTAGGGTGTTCTTGGAAGTTATTACAGGGATATACATCTGAGATGAAAAGTAACCTAAATTTTAAAGTAAACCTATTTGAAAATTTTCTTAGATATGAAAACTTTAAAATTATGCTTTTATGAATTAAATGCTTGTCTTCTAATGAAGTAGCTTGTGCAGTATCAACATTTACTATTAGTCTCTTGGGTTTTGAAGTTGAGCTTATTCGGCCTCAGTCACATTAAAGCAGGGATAAAGTAACAGTGGTCTCAATGAGAGACGCAAATCACCTGTGCAGATCAGAGGCACAATGGTTGTCTTTTCATTTGATGTCAGAGAAAAAGGATGACTTTAGTTAATTGTTAGTAAATGTTCAGTGGTCTCTCATTTTAAAAAGCTTAAGTGTATTGAGTAATTTCATGCCTGAATTTTTCTTTTAAGGAGTATGGCCCTGTTTTATATTTGAAATAGGATTCAATATTTAATGTTAACAGTATTATATTTTAGTGAAATTTATTTTGGTTATGACAGTTTATTATACTGAATTAGATTTCTTTCAGTAGTTTGTTAGCGACAATCTCAAGGGCTAGGAAGTATTGCTGAAATGGATACTGTGCATTTCTGACTTATTAATGAGCTTATAAATTAATGTCATAGTTCAAGACATTAATAGGAATCTCTTTGAGAACATTTTTAAAGGAACTACTTGATTGGGAAAGCGTTTTATCAATATCAGTAATAGTTCATTGAATAACAGCACAGCAGCTGAGAACTTGGACTGTTTTCCCACAGCGAAGCTCAGCTCAGCCCAGCCGCACGTACCTTCAGTGTGGGCTGTGGCACCCTCGTGCAGAGATCCCTGCCGGTGTCGACACGTGATTAGAGCAGTGAGCCGTTCTCATAGCCATGCTCACGTAGACCATGTCGTTTGAAACCGCCAGTAGCTATAGCTCGCTGAGCCAAAGTTAATTCATGTCATTTCCACTTTTAACAGTTCTTTTCAGTGTTCACAAAACAAGAAAAACTATTTCTTGCTTGGTATATGGAGTATAATTTCCAACCTCACCCCAAAATGCCATGGTGGTATATTACTATATGGTAATATTATACATTTAATAATATTTAATCATGAAGGGGGAAAGATTTTGGATTTTTTCTTATTTAAAGTGTTGAATATATTAAGAATGTAGTTTCACATCAGTAAGTCATTGACAATACCCTTGAACAGTGTACAGAGCGAACTTTTTGTGCCTTTTTGCTTGCAGTAAACATTTGTTTCTGTTTTACATGAGCTCTAAGAATGTTCATGATTATTGCACCTTGTTCTTCTGTAAGTAGACTCACTAAGGATTTTTTTAAAGCAAGGAGCAGTTTTTTATTACTAGGTAGATAACTTAGTAAACATGAGAAGGGGTGTCAGATAATATATCTTTGGAACCCAGCCTTTCCCCCACATGGTGAGCAGGAAACTCCTTTGGAATGTAATTTGTGTGTATGTGTGTGTACATATATGTATAAATAGTATTTAAATACATAAAAACAAAATTCGGCATCACATTGGTGTGATGGCAAGAAGTGGTAAGGTGCTAGGTGGACAGGGAGAGCACAGCAGAGTGTATAATCAGTCGCTATGGCTGGTGTTGTTTGTAAACTAGGTTCAGTTTTTGAACCACCCAGAATACCTCATGTGTAAATACAGTGGTCATGACTTAATTGAAATACAGTCATTGTAAAAAGAATGTGAAGCCACTGGTTGGCTTATGCCTTCTAATCTGTCCTTCTTGCCTCTTTTTTTGTAAAGGGGTTTTTGTTTGTTTGTTTTTGTTTTTTAATAGGGTTTACAGCTAGAATTTTGAATGCCAAAGTTCTATTTATTAAATTTTAAAAAAAGTTTTCAATGTTAATGGCTAAGTATTTTTCCACTGGATTATTGTTTGTTGATGTTGGAATTTGTATTTACAGAGAAATAAATTTTTTATTAAAAAATGTATGTCTTCCAAGTGCCTAATGTCAATATAACAGTGTATTTGAAATTTCAGACTCTCCTGAATTTTCAGTGGTAAGAATATACTGACTTGGCCTTCAGGTAAAAGCTTTCTATAAATATACAAGAGAATCTATGACTAGAAAGTGGAGACTTCTGCTTTAGGGTTGTCTCACCTTTTCTTTCAGTTCCCAAAAAGCTTTTTCTCATGGCCTTTCCATGAAGGGCACTGGGTTTTTTGGGTGACAGGTGCTGTGAATACAAATGCATGCTGGTATCCACTTCAGCCAGTGGTACTGTTCCCCCTTTGAATTTCTAAAACCCCTATTTATATCAAGAGTGGTTTTCTATTTTGTCAACGGATAAAATCTGATTTTAGTTTTTCACATTGCTAAAAGGTTAGACTAGCAATTCAAATCTTTTATTTCTCCCTTCTAATCAAAGGTAGAAACTTGACTGAAACATTTATAAATGTGACCTTGTTGAAAGGTTATACTATGCAGGGACCTTGACATCTCAGCTTTGATGGTTTGCCAGCCTAGATTTAGAGATGCCCTGTGGATGGCCCCTGGGACCTTGTTCTAACACATATGGGCTATAGCCTCTGTCTGTAGGAAGTTGGTTAATATTTGGATTAGCAGTATTTATATCCAGCCCAGCTAGCTTGACATGGCTCTGTCAGAGTCTTTAACGAGGCATCTAATTAGCTAACAGAAGGAACACTTTGAAAAATCATGCATCACAGATTCTGTAGGTTGCAAGCAAATGTCTTAGAAATAACAGAGTAGATAAAATCCTAGAATATTTCTATAGTGATTAGTGAAGAGGTTTCTTCTTCAGAATGAAAGATATAATTATTTTTTATCTGGTTTTTAAAAAAATGTTTTGATGGAGTCAACAGAGAGCTTTTGATAGGGTTACATCCCAGTGATTTTTTG